TAAATTCTTCAGTTTATGTAACATGTTTATCGTTTCGTATTGATTTTTGTTTTGGTTTATAAATAAGCCCTTTATTCTTTTCTTAACAGATGAAGATCTGCGTGGCCACCATTCTGTCAATCGCCCTCCTTCTGGGTAACTCTGTCAAGCTCCGAGCTTCCGTTACTGGGCCGGTTCCCTCGGACGGTGATGGTCCTGCGTCTCAGGTGTGTCAGCAGTGTTGCCAGGGACCTGCTGCAATACCCGGCATACCAGGTCTGCCTGGTCCAGTAGGACCGATGGGGCCGTATGGTCAGCCGGGGTCAAAGGGCGATGCAGGTCAGCAAGGTGAGATTGGCCCTATTGGACCTATGGGTGAGCGGGGAGTACCTGGGAACACTGGGTCTAAACGTGATGATGGGATTGGTCTGCCCGGCAAGATAGGTCCCAGAGGGCTAACTGGTTTTGTTGGACGAATCGGAGAAACTGGTGTTAAAGGTCAGAAGGGTGAGCCAGGGGAGACACCAGACGACTCCAACAAGCGGGTAGCATTCACGGTGACGAGGACGATCAGCACGGATACCTCTACGAGTCACAACACCCGTTTGCCCTTCCAGCAGGCCGAGACGCTTCTGCCGGGTACCAGCTTCGATCTCGAGACCGGTACGTTCACCTGTAGTGTGCCGGGCACTTACGTATTTACGTTTTCTGTTCTTAAGTATAGCAACAGCGGTACCCTTGTGATCAATCTGGTTAAAAACAACCACAAGGTGATAACCACCTATGGTCAAGTAAATCAACGAGGTCAGTTGTCTGGAAGCGCGGTGCTGGTTCTGCAGCGTGGAGATAACGGTGTATGTTACCATGTACGGTAGGGCGTATAGTGATTCCACCTATAACTACACATCATTCAGTGGCTTCCTCCTTTACCCGGAGTCAATTAATTAATTAATAAATAATCACTACGCATAAATATACAGGAGCAGTGCCTCCCCCCAACAAAATGTTTGGTTTTTATTTTGTCGAAACAATAACCAATGATTTAACAGAAATAATGTTCAATATAATAATAATAACCTATGGGTACCATTAACAGGTATGACAAAAATGATTAATTTTAAATACATGTTTAGCATTGATATATCAAAACGGTTTACAAAACATCAACACTCCTTTTTTTTTAATCATTAAAAATTAGATAAAAATAAAACTCTAATTTTTAGAAGGAAATATTTTAAGCCCTTGATTGAAAAATTCCAAATTCATTAAATTTTCTCAATTAAGCTGAAAGTCTATTCCACAGATGTATACATGGTAAAAGCACAATCCCTGTATGCCTTGGTAGCCTTTGGACAAACTTTAGGGTGGCTGAACTTAACCCCGTCGCAGCTTTTATTGCGAATGTTAAACTCCTGAACTGATCTCAACTCGACGGATTATTCTGAAAACTAACACAAGATCTTGAATTCAACCCTTACCGTATTTATAACTAGGAGCCAATGTAGTTCCTGAAGTATGGATGCATGTCCGCTTAACGATCTATCTTCTTGGGATAACCAGTCGGACAGCAGCATTCTAAATATGTTGTCATTTCTTAAGCTGGTAATCATATGAATCAATAAAGAAGAAATAAAAATCTGTTCAGATAATCTAATCGAGAATTTAGATGCATGGTTGAATAAATAATGTATTTGCTTACATTTGCACCGCACAGTTCCGTATTGGCAATAGATTTACAATTTTGAGTGCTCGTTATAATTAGCTTTTCGTAGAAAAGTTTTGAGACATATTAAACAAGAATGCATTAAAATTGTTGACAACAATTATGTTTGTATCCACTGTGGCATGAAATATCGTTATAAATAAAGTTTTAATAAAAATGTGAACAAATAAAATATTTGAGAAAATATGTTATTTGTTCACTTTTGTTATGTAAACATGCATAATAAGTTATGACTTTTGTAAGACCTACATATTTCTGCACCGGTTGGGTTATTCTTAGTTGGGTGGAGACTCGCCCCGATATCATTAATCCTCGGAAAGATTTTGTTTCTTGCTGGAAAAAAAAAAAACAATTTGAAGGGCACCCTGGTATCGAATGTATTGTATATAAATGGGTGACGTTACGTACCTTTATCATATTGTGAACCACGGCCTGAATCGAAGTGTATCCCTATGTGATATAAAATGCGTTATTTCTGAAAAAAAAAAACTGTTTGCATACACTATTTGTAATTAGAGTTTAGTTCAAACTCAGCAAGTTTTGAGTTTGAACTGTAGTGTTGCTTTATTAATAGTATTTTGAAGTGGCTCATGATTTGATGTTACTTTGTAGAGATATTTGGCTATTTCCAACTCTGCTTTTCAGATGTTTGTGTACTCAATTTTTACAAGCAGAATATGCAATTATCAAAGACAAGTTATGAATGTATTTTATATTTTTTATGTTTTTACAGATGTTGGAAAAGTTTAAAAAGAGTCCGATACAAAGAAGTATAAGAACCAGAAAATGCCTTCAATTTGTAAATTTTGCAGTGTTCACAAAATAACATCTATATAAACAGCTGAAATTTGCACTGCATCTAACCATTTTTGTTGTATTTGTTTTTAAAGACCTCTTCTTAGCAGTATTTAAAAAGACTCAACGTGTGCCTTCTGGAAGAAGTATTAATATTAAGAATGCTGAACCTGACATAGCCAAGGGTGTAGACCTGTGTGTAACGAATGGTTTGTTTTAATAGCACCGTGAAGCTTTGGTAATCGATCGATAGGGCTACATCACTTTCGATATTAGCGATTTGTAATGTATTTTCTACTTAGTTCCTCACTGAAGTAACGTGCAGAGAAAGTTATCGTGATGGATTGTCAAACATTTAGCCCATCCCATCATTTTTGAAAGCTTGAACTTGCGAGTTTTTATGTAGCAAATAAACCATGTCTTTTCCCATTTTTTTAATTTATTGGTAACAAATAAAAAAACTCAAGATTTATGTTGATAATCAGGCTATTTTTGTGACACGTGTCCTGTCATCAAATAAAAAGCCCATTGCAACGACTACAAAGGAGAAAAATAGGCGGGATTCGTTGTCATGTTTTGGGACAACAAAACGGCCCCTTCTCACTGTAGCGAAAAAGAAGTAAAGAAACTTAAATGAAATCCACCTGGGAAATTAACCCAAAACACGTTAACGTGGTAAATACTAAGTTTATTACAGCCCCATCTTTTTTTTTTTCCACGAGATTTGTTTCTAGGGCTACAAAAGTTATTCTCTTGTGCATGAGACGCCGACCAAAACAATCAGCCGTTTTGAATGCTCCGAGGAATAAAATAGAGTAGATAACAAACGTTGATTCTTTTGTTTGTGAAATATGCTTCATAACCCGGTGTCATATGAAAATCGGACTCGTATAAAAATCGGACTCTTTTTCCCTCTTACTGGTTAAACCATCTCAAGTGACCGTTCCCTCTCCTAATTATCTATGCATGAGCATGCGCAATACCACCAATGAGTCCGTATTTCATAAAACCTAAATACATGCTACATCGGTACTGCTGATATTTTCTAGTTTTTATTTATTTAATTAATTTGTGGCCTGACATTTATTCGTTTCTTGCGGTGTAGACTGCATGGGTCCCCACCTCCGTTTTTTTAGACTCCATAATATAGGAAACCGGAACCGGTCTACCAGCAGCAGTGAAGCCATGGGGAGGGGGGAGCTGCAAGATGTTACAGTGTGAGGGAGGGAGGGGCAGTTTCTGTTATACCTAATAACCGCATGGTCAATGGGAATTATTTATTTCGGGGGGGGGGGATGGGGCGACTGCAGGACATTTCTTTTTCTATTTGTGTGTGTAAGCCCACCCCTTACACCCCTACCCCAGCCTCCCCACTCAACCTGGCTACGCCGCTGTCTACCAGCATCTTTATAGCGAATTAAAGCAGCCACATCAATTGGGGAAAAATCAATTATTTTACAAGAGCTACAATAGACGACAGGACTGTTGTAAAATCGATTTACTTATCCTCTTCCTCTTAATGGAAATACTAATGGAAAGGAAAACAACAGAGCCCTGGCATTCAATAAACAACCCCCCCCACCCCCGGTCTCGAGCCGCCTTAGCATACATTTGGGGTTCGGGATCCGCCGTGGGTGGAAGGGATGATGAGAGCGGGGGTTCCTAGGAAGATTCGTTCAAAGGCTATTGAAGGTTGGGGTTTTTTTAAGGAAAGAAGACTGTTTCAAATGGATGGATCGAAACAGTTAAGCTTTGGAATGGATTTGGTTGGGCGAGGGTCAAGATTGGGCTGGCATAATCTGTGATTGGTTTTGGTATAGGTTGGGCTCAATAAGCGTGGAGGTGGTTCTGCAGGTGCAATGTCAATTGCATGCCGAGAAGTTGGTCTGGCCGAGCGCGCGTTTGACTTGTGGATGGGGATAGATGAATAGTTATAATTAAGTTGCCTTCGGGAACGGCTGGAGTCTGCAAAATAATTATACTTTCAGGGCGGCAGTTGTACATGGACCGGATAATGCACACAATATATTCAAGTTCTATTTACTTTTTTGAAAAGCTGAATTCATTTCATCTTCGGTTTTTTTATCACTGCATAAGAATACTAGCCACCAAATGCGTGGCTCCATTAAATAACACAAAGCGCAAAACAAACACTGATTGAATCCCGTATGGCCGGTGAACGTCATTATTCTATCCACCAATCAGAGTTAGTCACCGAACAAGTCGGTGACCACAAGTGAGTGGTCTGTGATTGACAGGTGCCAATCACAATCCACGTGTTTGAATGTGTCACCGACATCCATACAATCATTCCACCAATTAGATGCGTCTATTTGAGTGTCGGTGATACAAGCTTCGGGTTTTACGTGTGGCAGTGTAACATTAATATCATTTCCGTCTCACAAATATGGAGCGAGTCAGTGATGTGTGATTGACAGCGCGTAAGGGGCCAATCACAAACCGGGCTTGCAAGTTCCTCAGTCACTGCTTGGGAAATCGACGTCAATATTTAAGTCACAAGCTGCCGGCTCACTCCTCACAACGACCGCAGCTAATGTTCACGTTCAGACGACAACCCGAGAGAACTGTTTACAAGATCGAACAAGAATTGCACGGTGAGTGTTTGAAACGATAATTCTGCTTACTTCGGGATTGATTTTTTTTTTTGATATATGATATTGGCACAAATGTACTTTTAGCCAAAACAGTGCGCTATAAATATTTCAGACCATGATGATCCCGTTCCTATACGGTAATTCGATAACTTATCATGCGATATTGGTGCTTGAACCATAACCAGGTATAATGTTGCATAGAATACCACTGAATTAGCTCTAGTCTGAACAGTTGATGCGGATTCAGACCACCATTTTCTAAGGCCAAAATCAGGCAATAATAGCTCAGAGCAAATAATCTCGGTTTTATATTTGTTCAAAATAAGGAATTCCTGTCTGACAATAGTTCCGCTATTGCCATCATAGTGCACTCTCGACGCACAGTAATTGCCCAAATACTTACTGGTTTATCTAGTTCTTGAAAAAAAAAAAACTATAAATTCATGGAATTTTTGTAGTTTGTATTGCCATTCAGGTTCGCCAGTTTTCCAGTCAAACCTGGCTGTAGGTTTTTCAAGAGTGTATTACATCAAGTTCCTTATTCTGATTGAAGTTCACGCACTTACACATTTTTTTTCAGATGACAAATTTAAACCTTTTTGTGTTCAAAGAAAGAAATCTTGCGAAAGCTGACACCTGACCCATAATATCATTATGATTAATAACCCGCGTTGTTTTCTTGCTGGATTTTCTTGTTTATTGTATCAGACATAAAATCCCGATGCGATGCGATCACAATTTCCGGCAATCACTGTAACTAATTCAGGATTAAAGGTTATGCGGAAGTTGGCCACGGAAGAATGTATCAAGGAAATCGGGACATCTCAAACATCCTGTCGTATGTTGTGTTTTTGAAAATTGGGATAATCTCAATACCTTTTGCACTTTTCGCTAGTTCACAGTGCGCCATTCCGGTTTGATCACTATATAGGCCTGAACGTTCATGGGTCATTCCATGTCAGACCAACGCACTTTTTTACCTCATGTCTTCTGATTTTGATAACAATTGCTGTGCTTGTAGGTCCTGATGAGCAATGAATGCACACAATTTTTAGCCCGATCCGACCTACCATGTGGTCAGGGCAGAAACCACAAAAACGGACATTTTTAGAGTAAAATACCACCTTTTTGGGTAGAAATATGTCAAACCATGTCAATTTTCATCGAATATATGCGAATTTGGTAGTAAAATAAAAAGAATTTGCATGCTCAAATCAACTCTTTTGTCAAAATGTTGTGAAAAAAATGTTGTCGTGACCTTTGATCCAATTTATGTAATAATGTATCATTCCGAAAATCAACGAAATGAAAATGACTGGATAGAACATGTGTTCCTCTATCAGAATCTACTAAAAATCAATTGGGGTCTTCAAAATTTTCAACTTTATGACTATTTTCGTACAGTTGGTGGGTTACAAATGAGTCAATTTATAGACTTGACATTAGAAATCCACCCACACAACTTACTATTCTTTTTCTAAAGGTACTTAAATTAGTCTTGGTTTGGGAATTTCTCATGTTCAGGGCTGATGAGGTCTAACCAGACTCATAATATAAATTATCAGCAGTGGCGCACCCAGGATTTTGCTTGGGGGGATTCATAGCTTTTTGTTGTCAAATTGACAACCTTGGAGGGGGGGGTTCAAGCCCCTCGATCCCCCCCCCCGATCCCCCCCCCCGTGCCACTGATAATTAGTTATCCCACGAGCGTGCTTGGAATATTGGAATATGAAACAATGCAATGCTGCTGTGACTCATATGCCACCCGACGCACTGCATTATCCCATGTTCCACGAGCCATAACGAATTTATCTTAAAGCAAACTTGACGTCGAATGCGTACATTGTACGTGGTGAGGGATGTAGGTTCATAGTGTATCGGCCCTTCAGCAGCAAATAAAAAGAACACAATACATACTTGTACATGTACAATCGATATCTGGGGCACAATATAGCTGTGCAGTATTATATCCAATCACACTGTTGTTGCTATACTTGTAGATGGACTAATCAGGGTCTAGGATTCAAGGTTGCTTAAAGATAATACTCAATATCGCAATCAAAGTTCGGGTGGCATATGGGTCACAGCAGCATTCCATTGTTTCATATTCCGAGCGCGCTCATGGGATAACCAATTATCAGTGACACCCCAGGGTGGGTGGGTGGGGGGGCTCAATTCACAGCGCACTCGTGGGATAACTAATTATCGTTGGAACCGATGGGGGGGGGGGCTCGAGGGCTGGACCCCCCCCCCCCAAGGTTGTCAATTTGTTTGTTTGATTTTGGGTTTTTTTTTTAATCTTTTACAGAAATTTGAAAACAAACAAATTATGAGCCCCCCTCCTAACACAAAAAAGCAAAATCATGGGTGTGCCACTGCTGATAATCTATATAATGAGTCTGGTTATACCTAATTATCCCTAAACATGAGAAACTCCCAAACCAAGATTAATTTAAGTAGCTTTAGAAACAGAATAGTAAGTTGTGCGGGTGGATTTCTAATGTAAAATCTATAAATTGACTCATTTTGTAACCTACCAACTGTACAAAAAAAGTCATAAAGTTGTAAATTTTAAAGACCCCAATTGATTTTTAGTGGATTCTGATAAAGGAAGACATGTTCTATTAAGTCATTTTCAGTTTGTTGATTTTCGGAATGATACATTAGTACATAAATTGGGTCAAAGGTCACGATAACATATTTAAAGTCACGTGACCTACTTTTCACAAAATTTAATTTTGACAAAAAAGTTGATTTGAGCATGTAATTCTTATTATTTTGATACCAAATTTGCATATATTTGATGAAAATTGACATGGTTTTGACATATTTCTACCGTAAGGATGGTATTTTACTCTAAAAATGTCAGTTTTTTGTGGTTTCTGCCCTGACCATATGGTAGGTCGGATCGGGCTTAAATTGGTGTGTATTCATTGCTCATCAGGACCTACAAGCACAGCAATTTTTATCAAAATCGGAAGACATGAGGTAAAAAAGTGCGTTGGTCTGACATGGAATGACCCTCATGCTTTCAAGCATTGCACGATACAAGTGTCACTGGTTAGAAGAGACTAGAGGGCGCAAATACAAACGGACCGGATCATTATTACACACACAGTGTAATTAAAGTTCAAATTGCTTTATCTGGCTGGATTCATTTCTCGAAATCCTGTTAAGAGTTGATGTTTGTACAAATTATTCGGACCGTCTACTTAGCTGTCCGACTTCCAAGTTTGAAGCATCAGCTTTCATGGGCGTTGCGAGAGGGGGGGTGGCATTGGGCGCTTGCTGCCCCCGGACATGCAAACAATAAGGAGAAAAAAAGGGGAAAAATAAAAAGACAGGCGTGAAATCATACTGTTGTTAATTAAATGGGAGTGGGGGCAAAACAAAAAAATCAATCGGGAAAATGCTGCAAAATATTAAATGGATGGGGGGATGTGCTTCGGTCACTGCCGGAGGGGAGGGCGCCCCTCCGCACCCTGGATCCGCCACTAATCTTGCTACACTGCCCGATTTTCTTGAAAATGTGTAACATTTTGTAAACGTATGCATGAAGTTTAATTCCCGAGCGGGACTGAAATCCAAAGCACATGTGATTTCGATGCAAAGTAACGATGCAAAACTTGCTGTTTTTAAAACTCACATAATTATGCTTTCACAAAATTTCAATGACTTATAAGTGCCTAAAAAAATGCTCATCCTTGTTTGGTACAATGGAATGCTGGTGCTATGAAGCATTCAGTTTCCCAAAAAAAAATTCACGAAGCGACATTAAAGCATGTTGCTTTTTCCTGGACGTATTCGGCCAGGAAAATACCGTTCAAATAATATGTAATTTTTCCATGATTTATTAGTGTATTATTTTTCCTGTTTTAGAATGATGATTTGTCAAAATAAAAAAAAGCTCACAATTTTATTCAAATCGATGATAACATTATTTCATTCCTTACTCAAGTTTAAACGCTGCCGGTTTTCGTTGTTTTTTTTCAGCTTACCGTGAACTCCTTCTGATCTTTTCTTGGACCTGATCTTCAAGTCTTCAAGAGCGAACCATCGAGGTCAGTGTGGGGATATTTAATTGATTCTATCATGACCGTGGAAAGAGCGCGCCGTCCCAAAATACCCTGATGTTAATGGGTCTTCTTTGCTAACTTTTATCAGCGGGCAAAAGTAATAACCAGCCCAATTTGTGGATTGCCCACAGCCACAGTTGTCATTGCAACCCGAATTTTCAAAAATTGTAACCCCGTGCCCCCGAACAGGCCACTGCCATTATCACACCGAACACATTGTGTGAATAATGATTCTTCAACAATTCTTTTGTAGTCATACATGTCTTTTAGACAAATCCTTCAGTTTATGTAACATGTTTATTGTTTCGTATTGATTTTTGTTTAGGTTTATAAATAGGCCCTTTATTCTTTTCTTAACAGATGAAGATCTGCGTGGCCACCATTCTGTCAATCGCCCTCCTTCTGGGTAACTCTGTCAAGCTCCGAGCTTCCGTTACTGGGCCGGTTCCCTCGGACGGTGATGGTCCTGCGTCTCAGGTGTGTCAGCAGTGCTGCCAGGGACCTGCTGCAATACCCGGCATACCAGGTCTGCCTGGGCCAGTAGGACCGATGGGGCAGTACGGTCAGCCGGGGTCAAAGGGCGATGCAGGTCAGCAAGGTGAGATTGGCCCTATTGGGCCTATGGGTGAGCGGGGAACTCCTGGGAACACTGGGTCTAAAGGTAATGATGGGCTTGGTCTGCCCGGCAAGATAGGTCCGAGAGGCCCACCGGGTCTTGTTGGAGCAGCCGGTCAGGCTGGTGTCAAAGGTCAGAAGGGTGAGCCAGGGGAGACACCAGACGACTCCAACCAGCAGGTGGCATTCACCGTGGTGAGGACGAGCCCCTCGGATACCTCTACGAGTCACGACACCCGTTTGCCCTTCCAGCAGACCGAGACCCTTCTGCCGGGTACCAGCTTCGATCTCGAGACCGGTACGTTCACCTGTAATGTGCCGGGCACCTACGTATTTTCGTTTTCTGTTCTTAAGCATAGCAACAGCGGTTACCTTGACATCCATCTTGTTAAAAATAACTACCATGTGATCACTACCCATGGTAACTCAAATCAACGTGGTCAATTGTCAGGTAGCGCGGTTCGGGTTCTGCAGCGAGAAGACACAGTGTATTTGACTGTGTACGGTCGGGCGTATAGTCAGTCCATCTATCACTACACCTCATTCAGTGGCTTCCTCCTTTACCCCGAATAAATAAATCAATTAACAAATTATCACCACACAAAAATCAAACAGTAGCAGTGCTGCAAAAATCAATTCGCTGTCCATTTCGCCGAAACAATAACTAATGAATCAAAAGAAATGTCATAATAATAATGACGACAAAATGTCGATAAGTAAGGTACCGTTAAACAGGTATGATAAAACTGGTTGATTATTAATACATGTATAGCATTGTAAATTAAAATATAAACACGGTTTACATGACAGTAAAACTAATTATAAAAAAAAAAATCACTAAAAATCAGATAAAAATAATACTTAATTTTTTTTCTATGAAATTAATTTAAGCTGTGATTTAAAAAAAAAAAAATCATAAATCTTTCTCCATAAGCTGGAAGTCTGTTCCACAGATGCATATATGGTAAAAGCACGAACACCGTATGCCTTGTCAGGCTTTGGACGAACTTCAAGACGGTTGAACTTAACCCTATCATAGCCATTAGTGCGAATGTAACACTCATTAATTGATATCAACTTGACTGATAAGTCTGAAAAGTCTAAGGATCTTGAATTCAACCCTTATGCATGTCTTCATGACGATTTATCCTTCTCGAGCAATTACAAGTCTTGCAGCAACATTGTTGGTATGTTGTCATTTCTTAGCTGGTAATCGTTTGAACCAAAAAAGAAGAAATAAACTGTTCCAATAATCTAATCGGGAACTAACAAATGCATGTATGAATAAATAATGTATTTGTTTACATTTGCACCGCACAGTTCCATATAGACAATAGGTTTTTAAAAATGTGACTGCTTGTAATTTAGCTTTTTTCGTAGAAGAATATTTAGAAATGTTAAATAAGTATGCTTTAAAACTGTTGACAACAGTTATATTTGTATCTACTGTGGAATTAAATATTTGTAATATAGTTTAATAAGGGTGAGTCGGAAAAACGGAACCCACAAACCCCAAATACTGTATTTCATATTTAAAAACATATGAAGCCCCGAAAATAATAATGACTTGAAAGCCAATTTCATAAACTACTATTAGATGAAAATATTACTGAAATTGCTGAATCCTTTCAAACAATATCGCCATTTAAACACAATGATAATAAAACCTCTTTCGTTTAAAAATGCAATTTTAAAAATCGTCCTCACAATTTTCTTTAAACATCACCACCGATAAAACCTCACTAAAAGTTAAAAATATTCAACAAAGTCCTTTTGAAGGTCCGTCTTTACAAAAAGTAGATGTCATAAATCATATTGTTTGCCTTACCAGGGTTGTTAATAAAGATTTTGTGTACTACAGTGACAGTTGTTGAAACAAGAAATGTGTCGTTTTCTCTGTTGTTCCAAACAGTAAATAAATACACAATAAATTGCCTCTTTTTAATTTTTTTTGTACAAAACAGGTTTTAGGGTCATTGCATTTAAATGGCGATATTCTTTGAACGGACTGAGCAATATGAGTTATTTTTTTTCATCTAAAAGTAGCTCATAAAATTGACTTTTTGTCCAATATTATTTTTGGTGCAACATATTGTTTTTATATGAAATATAGTTAATTTGGTTTTGGTTCCGCTTTTTTTCGACTGACCCCCTAACAAAGTGAACAAAGAAAATATGTAATTTGTTCAATTTGGTATGTGATCATAGATAAAAACAAATAACGATTGTAAAACATACATTGTTTCTGCACTGGTTGGGTTATTCTCAGGTGGGTGGAGACTCGCCTCGATATCATTTATTCATTCTCGGAAAGATTTTGTTTCTTGGCAATTTTTGTTGTAGTTTTCAACTTAGGTTCATATACTGAAGTAAGGATTGTAACGTGCAGAGAAAGTTATCGGGATTGATTGTCAAAAATGTAAGCCATTCCATCATTTTTGAAAGCTTGAAATTGCCAGTTGTCATAAAGCTAATAAACTATGTCTTTTCTCATTTTTTTGCTTTATTAGTGGCCAATAAAAAGCTCAAGATTTATATTGATAATCAGATTATTTTTTTAAACGTGTCCTGTCACCAAATAAAAACCCATTATACAACGACTGGAAAGGAGAAACTAGGCGGGGTTTGTTGTCATGATTTAAGACAACAAAACGGCCCCTTCTCTCTTTAGCGAACAATCAGTAAAGAAACGTAATAAAATCGACCGAGGATTTCAACCCCAAAACACGTTAAGCCCTGTTAAGTATTTCGTTAATAATTACTGCCGCAAATTTTGTTTTCCGTCGAGTTTTGCGCAGATGAATAGATTCATGTTTTTTTTTCTAGGGCTACAAAGTTTTTTTTTTTTTTTTTTTTTTCTGGGGGGGGGGGAATAGGCCTCATTGCCCCGTACTTTAGACATTTCGAGTTTGTATTATTCAATCGATTTGTGGCCTGACATATTCGTTGTCTTTGCGGTGTAGACTGCATGGGTCCCGACCCCCGCTTGTAGTCTCGATATAATATAGTAAACCGGAACCAGTCTACCAGCAGCAGTGCATGAAGCCAGGATTCTTACCGGGGGGGGGGGGGGGGAGAGGACATAAAGAAGCTGCACAATGCTACATTTGGAGGAGGGTGGTATAAATTGTTGTTCAACATAATAACCATGATCATTTACACATATTTTTTTTTGGGGGGGGGGGCGCTTCGTGGCTTTTTTTCTTTATTTTTCTATGGGCTGTCTACCCAAAGGGCGGATTTGATATATCTTTTAAAGCGAATTAATTAAGGCGGTAAAAACTTTTTTTTTTTTATAAGATCTCAATAGACGACACGACTGTTGTAAAATCAATTTACCGATCCTCTTCCTCTTGACGGAAATATTAATGGAAAGGAGAACAACAGCACCCTAGCATTAAATAAGCACCTCTCCGCCTCAGCGTAAATTTGCGGGTTAGGGATCCGCCGTTGTGGATAGGAGGGGGAGGGATGATGGAGACGGGGGTTCCTAGGGGGATTAGTGCTTGGCTTGGAGATCAGACCATTGAATGTTTTGCTAGGGAAAGAAGTCTGTTGTACACGGTTTGATCGACACAGTTGTGTGAGTTTGGGATTGGGTTTGGTTGGGCGAGAGTCAAGATTGGGATTTGCATATTTCTGCATGTGTTTGGTTCTGGTATAGATTGGGCTCAATAAGCGGAGATGGGAGGCCCCAATTAGCGGGGAGGGGGTTCTGCATGTTCAAGGTCGATTGCATGCCGAGAAGTTGGCTGGGCCGAGCGCACGTTTGACTAGTGGATGGGGATAGATCAATGGTTATAATAAAGAACGGCTGGGATGCGCAAAATCAGTATATTTTCACCGTTAGAGGGCGGCAACTGTACATGGACCTGATATTTTGCACACCATGTCATAGTGTATTCACCTTCTTAGTGCGCTTTTTTTCCAGCTAAATTCACTTCATCTTTGTTTTTCTATCATAAATAAAGACTGCATACATAACCTGACTACAAAATATATACTTGCCACCAAATGCGTGGTCCCAATAAAATCACGAAGCGCAAAACAAACACGGATTGAATCACTTATGACCGGTGTACGTCATTATTCTATCCACCAGTTAGAGTTAGTCACCCAACAAGTCGGTGACCACAAGTGATTGGTCTGTGAATGACAGATGCCATCATTTTTGGAAGCTTGAACTTGCGAGTTTTATACAGCTTATAAACCATGTCTTTTTCCAGTTTTGTTTACTTTCTTAGTAACGAATAAAAAACTCAAGATTTACGTTGATAATCAGGCTATTTTGTTGAGAGGTGTCCTGTCATCAAATACAAATTCCACTACAAAGGAGAAAAATAGGCGGGGTTCGTTGTCATGATTTCAGACAACAAAACTGCACCTTCTCACTGTAGCAAACAAGAAGTAAAGACACTAAAATAAAATCGACCTAGGAAATCAACCCAACACACGTTAATGTGTTAAATACTTGGTTTATAACAGCCCCATTGTTTTTTCCTCGATTTTTGTATGATCCGAGGAGTAGATTTGTTTCAAGGCTACAAAGGTTATTGTAATACTTGTGAATGAAACGCCGACCAAAACAATCGGCCGTTTTGAATGCTCCGAGGAATAAAATAGAGTAGATAACAAACGTTAATTCTTTTGTTTGTGAAATATGCTTCATAACCCGGTGTCATATGAAAATCAGACTGGTATAAAAATTTAACTCTTTTTCCCTCTTATTGGTTAAAACCTCTCACGTGACCGTTCCCTCCCCTAATTTATCTATGCATGAGCATGCGCAATACCACCAATGAGTTCGTATTTCATAAAACCTATATTCATGCTACATCGGTACTGCTGACATTTCCTAGTTTTTATTTATTTAATTATTTTGTGGCCTGACATTTATTCGTTTCTTGCGGTGTAGACTGCATGGGTCCCCACCTCCGTTTTTAGACTCCATAATATAGGAAACCGGAACCGGTCTACCAGCAGCAGTGAAGCCAGGGGTCTCACCATGGGGGGGGGGGGGGGGCTGCAAGATGTTACAGTGTGAGGGAGGGAGGGGCAATTTCTGTTAAACCTAATAACCGCATGGTCAATGGGAATTATTTATTTCGGGGGGGGGGAGGGGGCGGGGGGATGGGGGCCGACTGCAGGACATTCTTTTTTTTTTTTATTTGTGCGTGTAAGCCCAACCCCCTACATCCCCACCCCAGCCTCCCCACTCAACCTGGCTACGCCGCTGTCTACCAGCAAGGTGGATTAGATACATCTTTACATCGAATTAAAGCAGCCACATCAATTGGGGAAAATCGATTATTTTACAAGAGCTACAATAGACGACACGACTGTTGTAAAATCGATTTACTCATCCTCTTCCCCTTAATGGAAATATTAATGGTGAGGAAAACAACAGAACCCTGGCATTAAATAAGCACCCCCCCCCCCCCCCCTGATCTCAAGCCGCCTTAGCATACATTTGGGGTTCGGGATCCGCCGTGGGCTGCCCTATGGTGGTAAGGAGGTGGAAGGGATGATGGGAGCGGGGGTTCCTAGGTGGATTCGTGCTTAGGCCATTGAAG